CTAACTTGAAATTTTTATAGTTTTGGTGCTATTCGTCGAAGCTCGGTCAAGGATTCCTCTTTATTAGACCACCAACTTTATACATAATTTTACAACTTTGTAGAGACAAACGTTTTTGGTAAATAGTAGCTAATTTTAGTATATTATCACGGGTTGTATAAATGTGTCTTACCTAACAAAAATTTATTATCTTATGATCATTTAGTTATGAACATTGTTAATCAAGGCTATGGTACATTAGCTCTTCTATCACCAAGTCATTGACTTCTTTGACCTTTCGACACTAGGTAGACTTAACCAAATGCATGATCTTACAACTTATAAAGTCCTATCTTAAAGTCTAATTTATTTTATTTATTAAAGACAGATAGTTAGGTAATGACGGCAGGAGAGCTCCAGTGACATTTCGGAACTCCGTGGGTTGCATGTAATTTCTCAAACCCAAAGGAGGCAAACTATTTACCCTACATGAAAGTCTTCAACTTCGGATGGTCGCCACGCGTTTCACTGGACCCCACCTAAATCTCTATTTCTTTCTTTGACTTGCCTTGCTTACCTAATCTTAAAAGAAAATAAGGAAGAAAAAAACTCTAGAAAATTACAATCTCGCCCCTTCTCCTCCGCCTCGCTCCCCAACTAACGAACACTAATAATCTTTTCAATTTCACTCCTCCATCAAAATCAAATATATAAAATGAGTTTTCACGTTGTTGTGTGCCAGATGTAAGCAAGTCTTGAAGAAGAAGAAGACTCAAGCCAGAGATCTCCGTTTCTCTCTCTTTCGGCTCTGTTGCTTTATCTCCAACCACTGAGTCTGTCTCCGAGCAAGCTCGACTCCCCCGTAAGTCTCTGGATTTCACTAACTTGAAATTTTTATAGTTTTGGTAGCTATTCGTCGAAGCTCGTCAAGGATTCCTCTTAATTAGACCACCACTTTATACATAATTTACAACTTTTAGAGACAAACGTTTTGGTAAATAGTAGCTAATTTTAGTAATATTATCACGGGTTGTATAAATGTGTCTACCTAACAAAAAATTTATTATCTTATGATCATTATAGTTATGAACATTGTTAATCAAGGCTATGGTACTATTAGCTCTTCTATCACCAAGTCATTGACTTCTTTGACCTTTCGACACTGTAGACTTAACCAAATGCATGATCTTACAACTTTATAAAGTCCTATCTTAAGTCTAATTATTTTATTTTAAAGACAGATATTGGTAATGACGGCAGGAGAGCTCCAGGGACATTTCGGAAACTCCGTGGGGTTGCATGTAATATCTCAAACCCAAAGGAGCAAACTATTTATCCTACATGAAAGTCTTCAACTTCGGATGGTCGCCACCGTTTCACTGGACCCCACCTAAATCTCTATTTCTTTCTTTGACTTGCCTTGCTTACCAATCTTAAAAAGAAAATAGGAGAAAAAAAACTCAAGAAAATTACAATCTCGCCCTCTCCTCCGCCTCGCTCCCCAACTAACGCAACTAATAATCTTTTCAATTTCACTCCTCCATCAAAATCAATATTAAAAGGAGATTTCACGTTGTTGTGTGCCAGATGTAAGCAAGTCTTGAAGAAGAAGAAGACTCAAGCCAGAGATCTCCGTTTCTCTCTCTTCGGCTCTGTTGCTTTATCTCCAACCTGAGTCATGTCTCCGAGCAAGCTCGACTCCCCGAATCTCTGAATTTACTAACTTGAAATTTTTATAGTTTTGGTAGCTATTCCGAAGCTCGGTCAAGGATCCTCTTTAATTAGACCACCAACTTTATAAATAATTTTACAACTTTGTAGAGACAAACGTTTTTGTAAATAGTAGCTAATTTTAGTAATATATCACGGGTTGTATAAATGTGTCTTACCTAACAAAAAAATTTATTATCTTATGATCATTATGTTATGAACATTGTTAATCAAGGCTATGGTACTATTAGCTCTTCTATCACCAAGTCATTGACTTCTTTGACCTTTCGACACTAGGTAGACATTAACCAAATGCATGATCTTACAACTTTATAGTCCTATCTAAGTCTAATATTTTATTTATTAAAGACAGATAGTTAGGTAATGACGGCAGGAGAGCTCCAGTGACATTTCGGAAAACTCCGTGGGGTTGCATGTATTATCTCAAACCCAAAGGAGGCAAACTATTTATCCTACATGAAAGTCTTCAACTTGCGATGGTCGCCACGCGTTTCACTGGACCCCACCTAAATCTCTATTTCTTTCTTTGACTTGCCTTGCTTACCTAATCTTAAAAGAAAATAAGGAAGAAAAAAACTCTAGAAAATTACAATCTCGCCCCTTCTCCTCCGCCTCGCTCCCCAACTAACGACAACTAATAATCTTTTCAATTTCACTCCTCCATCAAAATCAATATATAAAATGATTTCACGTTGTTGTGTGCCAGATGTAAGCAAGTCTTGAAGAAGAAGAAACTCAAGCCAGAGATCTCCGTTTCTCTCTTCGCTCTGTGCTTTATCTCCAACCACTGAGTCATGTCTCCGAGCAAGCTCGACCCCCCGTAAGTCTCTGATTTTCGCTGAATTTTGTTTAATTTTGTGTATTTTTTCCATATTTATTTGACTTTAAATGCCTCCATGTCTGTGAATTCCACAGGCTTTTTTTTTTTGGATTCTTTTTGTGCCTATTTTAGTTTTAATTTTGGAGTAGTTTTTAATATATGAGTAAGCTAATTTAGTAATTTGGTTTATTTAAAATTACTGAAAATTATTGAATTATAACTGGAACTGTAAAATATCAGTATTTCTCATGTGAAAATTAAACAAAAAATTGTTTTTTTCTTTTTTTTTTTCCCCTTTTGGAATTGGAGTGTGTATTTTAGTTTTAATTTCTATTTTGGTGTAGTTATTAGTTTGCAGAGTAAGCTAATTGAGTAATGATTTGGTTAATTACTTGATTGAAGGTGGAGGTCTGTTTTTAGCTTTATATGTGGAATTGTTAGAAGTATCAGTGGTTCTTATGTGGAATATATAAGAAAAGAATTACAATTGAACATGTAAATGGGGCAAATTCTGTTGAAGTTTCCATTTCAGCAATTATGCATGTCTGCACACTGCATGGGTCACTGTGATCCGAAGTTCTGTCTGCTTGCGACGGCTATGGTGACCGGCATTGATAGACCTTGATTTTCTGTCTTTGTGCAACATTTGGAGAAATTAGTAGGTGTTATTTTCCTTTAGTATTTGAAACTCAAAAGGCAGTTATGGTTTTGTTTAATTAATAGGATTTTTTTTTTTTTTTTTTTTTTTTTTTTTTTTTTTTTTTTTTGAGAAAATATGGAGGAAAGTGATTAGTTATATCAAGATTGTGTAACATGAAATTGTTTTCAATTAAATATGGAAGATATATTATGCCCTTCAACTGAAGTGTTTAGTAAATTTCCTTACCGTTTTTTACTTTACTTTTCCCATTGACCATATCTATATGGTCTAGATAGTGTTGAAAAATGTTAAATTCCTATATTAAGATGAAAAAAACCCCCCCCCAGGAAAAAAAATTTTTGGGGAAAAACACAGAAATGGTGTCAAAGTCTTTGATGCCACTATTTGCATGACAAAATTAATTGGTAGACTTGTCACGTGGATCCAAAGACAAACCCATCTTGCTTTGTGTTATAATTTAGCTGGCAAATCGATGGAATTTGAGAACATAAACTCTTTTCTTACCTTGCATAGTATCTTTGATTGTTTTTTCATGCAAAGATGCTTATTTTTTTTTTTGTCTCGCAGCTGATTGTTTTCTTTATGCACTTCTCTTGCACATTCGTTTGCCTCGGTATTGCATCCATTGCTATGTAATTATGTTACCGAATTCTCGGTATTGTCCTCTGGTTATGACTTTCTGCTTTTTGACAACCCATTCATGGAAAATGATAGAGTTACTGAAAAGTTTACACCGAATTTGTGCATCGAATGACGTAGCTAAATCCTGACCGTTGATTAATATTAATTGATAATAAATCAACGGTCAGGATTTAGCCACGTCATTCGGTGCACAAATTCGGTGCATACCCATCGATAACTGTAGCATTACTCTCCATTCATATCTAGGCTTGGATTGACTAAGGCCTATTTATACCGTGTCAATTGGGTCGTGGTGGGCTGTGAATTACAGTAATTAGTGTAATTTTACAACTTTTGTACAATGTGTAACAAACATATCCTAATTAATCAGAGAGATTAAATCCATAATTAATCCACAAAAGGAATAAGCAAATGTCGATATATATTCACAATGACTAATCCTTTAAATTTATGTTACATTTGGCCACATTAACTTAACAATTATTCAACATTTATAAATGTTTACATAATTTGTAAAACTGAATCCCAATTGCATATAATCAAGATGACAGTAATTGATCAAAGTAATTTAATATTATTATACATTACTTTTTTTTCTTAAATTTAATTTTGTAGTAGTAATATTGAAAAATGGTTGAAAATCAAAACCTTCGCACAAGAGAATCTATAGATATAAAATCAATACTTCTAAGTTAATGTATAGTATAGTTCAAATGGAAAACACACTAAGACAAAGCATTCCAGTTACTAGATTTTTAATCAGAAACGAGTGCGTACAGTCGAATATCTCCTGGCAGGGGTAGGGATTGATATCAATCTTTCTGGAATTCTCAGCTCGGAGTTCTTTGGCTTGATCTCCAGATTTTTAAGTATAGGCATAGCTCCTTTCTCAACTTGCCATTCCTCCCACTCGTACAGGTCAAGAATTTCTAAATTTTCAAGCTGAGGAAAACCCTTTTCCCTGCATATCATTTTCTTTCCATGGTAAGAATGAAACCGCAATTCCAGACTTACTAGGTTCCGTAACTTCTCTAACTTTGGCATCGGATCATCCTGAAAATTCGAATTACTTAATGATAAGCATTCGAGATTCGGCAACATTGCGTGCATGTCTGCTGGTAGTTCCTCTATCTTCCCACACAATGTCAAATCCTGGAGCCGTAGACTCTAAGAAAGTGGTTGCAGTGAAGTGAAAGAATGAACGCCGAACAGTTCAACCGATAAAATTCTAATGTTTTTCAGCTTGGCAATAGAGTCGAATATGAATGGTTCTGGTTCTTGTGTGTGGAATTGACGGATGTGCAGCTCGCGAAGATTAACCAGCTTATCAGGATGTACTTTATTCCAACTTTCATACCTTACGAACTTCAGAGTCTGAAGGTTTGTCAAATTGTCTATCGGCAAAGGCCCTTCAAATGCTCCGATTAAATGCCTCAACTCCTGCAATTTGCCAATTCCAATGGGAAGCTTGAGGTCGCAATTGCGAGAGTATAAGTCCAGAGTTTGCAGTTTTCGTAAATTGACAATCGATGGTGGAAGATTTCCGATGCATGTAATCCTTACCGTTAAATACTTTAAGTGGACCAATTGCCCAATCTCTTCGGGTAAGCTACTACAATCAATTGATTCTCCATAATTCTGGACATGAAGAACTCTGACCAACCTGAGTCTTGTGCATATAGCGGTTGATATTTGCCTAAGCGAGCGCGAATCTGGATCGAATAACAAGAGGGAACGTGAGAGAGAATTACAATGTTGGAACGAAGAACTTGTTCCAGAATAAAAAACAAGTCGGCGAGGTGATGATGTTGGAGTTGGTGAGCAAGCTGGATGGTGAATTCCGTCGTAAATGTGAATGAAATTCAGTTCTTTTGCCTTTTGAATTGCAAGATCCTGCAAAAGATCATATGTTTTCATATGTTTTCAATTTGAATCAAGCTTCTATATATTGATCAACTCATCGAGATTGTTTTTTGCCACCTCTTCCATTACTCAATCATCATCTTCTTCTCGTATAAAACCTTCTGCTACCAGTAATCAGATTGCTTTCTCTATAAAGATTTCAGAATCCTCAGGTGAAATCCCAAGATAGAGGAAACATAACTTCAATTGATAAGGCAAATCACTGAAGCTTAAAGTTAATAAGAAAGATAACATGAATTGAATCGTTCCTTAAATGTTGCCAAATGTGATCACGAACCGAGCTCCACTCTTGTGGTTTCTTTGTAGTCAACAGCCCGCCTAATACAGTAATGGCAAGTGGCAGACCGCCGCATTTTTCAACCATTTCTCTTCCCAGCTTTCCAATTCTTCGTTTGCATTTGATTTTCGAAAAGTTTTCTCACAGAATAAGTTCCAAGACGCATCAGGCCTAAGAAAACGAAGTTTATGAACATGAATTCTCTCATCCGAACGCTCAGCTACTTCTTTGATGCGAGTAGTGATTATAACTCTGCTTCCATTGTTGCCATCCAGAAAGGCTCTTTTCAAACTCTTCCATTCTTCTTTCTGCCATACATCATCAATCACCGCCAAATATGAGCGTCCTTGTAAAGATTTATACAGACACCTCTCCAAATCCTCTTCGCTCATCTTCTCTAACTCCACTCCGTTAATTTTGATCTCAAAAGACTTTATAATTCGTCGAAGAAGATCTTCAGTTTTGTAATCTTGAGAGACAGACACCCAAGCTCGTAGTTTGAATTTATTCAAGACATCAATGTTGTGGTAAAGTTTTTTAGCGAGAGTGGTTTTGCCCAAACCTCCCATGCCAAAGATGGAAACTACAAAACGGCGTGGCTCATCCTCAAGAAGTTTACCCAACAACATTTTAGCATCATCCTCAAAGCCAACAATGTTCCCCTCAACAACAAAGGAAGTGACTCTTCTTAAATCTTTCAACCTCTCAAGATTATTGCTCTTTCCTTCCCTCCTATTACCAATATCCTCAAGGCGATACAATTCCCGTTTACGAGATAGATCGATGATCCTTTTCTGGAGTGATTCAATCTCCTTGCCTATGCCATACAGATCTCTCTTCTTGCTTATATCAGATAGGCATGAATACTTCCTAATCGAAGCAAAGAGAGCTGGTCGATCTCGATTCCGAGTCTTTCCGTGATCGATTTTGAGCATAAAATTATCCAAGACATCCTCGGTATCATAAGCAATGTCTCTGATATCAGACACCCACTTGCGAATCATAGCATCTTCAACTTGTTTTTCTTCGGCATCCTTGATGAAACATTGCATCCATTCTGTAACTTTGCAATTGAAAACAGAGAGAGAGAGTAAGAGCAGAGAAGATACACTTTCTTACTGCACTTTTCGTTAATTACAAAGTAGAGTAGCTAGGAGCTACTGTTTTACATATACAGATTTTCAATGGACTTTTACACTCTAAACAACAGTGTTTTGACTCTTTATTATTTGAGTTAAAAAGGGCAGCGTTTCAATGACTTTGCACTTTATCATTTGTCCAACATTGCCTCTCAAACTGGACTGCCTAAGCTATTTACATTGCATTGTCTGCATTGTGCTGAATTTGTCCAACATTGCCCCTCAAACTGGAATTCACCCCATTGTTCGAACTGAAGAGCTAACTACATTGAACCAAATGGCTGGGCTACATTTTCTCACCACAACATCAAATGACTGGGCTGCATTTTCTTACTAAAAGAAAGTTTCAAAACCTAAAACTTGAAATCTACAGGGGCAAAACAATTGCAGTAGTAGAACTGCAAAACAAGAACTTCAAATCGCACCACAACATCAAATGACTGGGCTGCATTTTTCTTACTAAAGGAAGGTTTCAAAAACTGAAACTTCAAATCTACAGGGGCAAAACAATAGCAGTAGCAGAACTGCAAAACAACTTCAGAACTACACCAAGTTTGCAGTAGCAGAAACTGCAAAACAAGAACTTCAAAACTGCACCAAATCTGCAAGTGGCAGAACTACAACTCCGGAACAACCAAAACTTTAGAACAAACTGCAACTCCAGAACAACCGAAAACTTCAGAACAATTACTCCACTCAAGACCAAATCTGCAAATAGCAGAAACTGCAAAACTGCACCAAGTTTGCAGTAGCAGAAACTGCAAAACAAGAATTCAAAACTGCACCAAATCTATAAGTAGCAGAACTGCAACTCTAGAACAACCAAAACTTCAGAACAAACTGCAACTGTAGAACAACCAAAACTACAGAACAATTACTCCACTCAAAACCAAATCTGCAAATAGCAGAACTGCAACTCTAGAACAACCAAAACTTCAGAACAATTACTCCACTCAAGATCAAATCTGTAAATAGCAGAACTGCAACGGACAAAAAACATCCACCAACTAAAAACATCATAACAAGGAAAAAATTTTCTCGCACTCAAGATCAAATCTGCAAATAGCAAAACTGCAACTAAAAACATCCACCAACAAATAGCAGATCTGGAATTCTTAGCACTTGCACAAGAGCAACTTCATTAGGTTACAACCCAGACCAGAAACCTTCAAAATGCACCAACAGGAAGGAATCAGACTTCCAGAACAACCAAACCTTTAGAACAATTACTCCACTCCAGATCAGGAAAAAAATCAGAATTTCAGATCAAACAGAGATAACTCCAAAACCTCCAGAGCAATCACGCCAGATTAATAACTCCAAAATCTGTAACCACCACCAATTTATCCGAACTACAGATTAATCAACTGAGCTGCAAACAAGAAAAAAAAATCAGCACTGAACCAACTATCAGTTACTTGCACACATTTCCTATCTTTTATGCCAAACTGAGAAACTGAGAGTGCTTTTGTAAGAAGATCCAAAATTTGTAGCTTGGAGGGAACATATTGGATGGCTATCTTTTATGCCAAGACTTGTTCTCGAACATAGTGAGCGTCAATCTCAATATGTTTGGTTCGAGAATGAAATACGGGATTAGATGCAAGGGCAGCAGCACTAACATTATCACGCCAGATTACTGTTATAGTGTGAAAAGTTAGGCCAAGCTCGGTAAACATATTTTCAAGCCATGCTATCTCTGTGGCTATGTGAACAAAGGCTTTATATTCAGTTTCAGTAGAGGAAAGGGCAACAACCTTCTGTTTTCGAGAACTCCATTGAATCAAGTTTGGTCCTAGGTAAACACAATAGCCATTGGTAGATCTTCGATCCTCTTTACTTCCTCCCCAATTAGCATCAGCATAACACTCAACATGAAGAGTGCTTGCTAGTTTGAACACAAGACCAAAATCCAGAGTACCTTTATTGTACCTCAACACCCTCTTACAAGCTTGCCATTGAAGATCAGTAGGTGCTTGTAAAAATTGGCTTAACTTGTTAACAGTGTAGCTGATATCTGGTCTTGTAAGTGTTAAGTATTGTAGTGCTCCTACAATACTTCTATACAAGCTGGGATTCTGAAATAGCTCACTGTCGGTTGAACTAAGTTTGATACCAATAGTCATAGGAGTTGAGCATGGATGTGCCTCCATCATTCTGGTTTGAACTAATAAGTCTGAAGCATACTTAGACTGTTTTAAGTGAATACGTGCTGAATTTCTTGTTGCTTCCAAGCCCATAAAATATTTGAGTGAGCCAAGTGTCTTTAGGGCAAAATTATCATTAAGATCTTTCATCAACTGCTTAATAAAGACCTGATCAGAGCCTGTGATTAGTATGTCATCGACATACACTAAAACATAGATAGAACCAGTGTCTTGTTTCAGGATAAACAAACTAGAGTCTGATACTGAATTTTGGAAGCCTTTAAGTTGTAAAGCAGCCTTCAATCGATCAAACCAAGCTCTTGGAGCTTGCTTGAGACCATAAAGTGCTTTGTTCAGCTTGCAAACTGCATTAGGAAAAACATAACTCTCAAAACCAGGTGGCTGCTTCATGAAGACTGTTTCAATTAAAACTCTATTAAGAAATGCATTGTTAACATCTATCTGTTGAATATCCCATCCATGTGTCATAGCTAGAGTGAAAACAGTGCATATAGTAGCTGGTCTAATCGCTGGACTGAAAGTCTCGAAGTAATCAAGGCCGGGAGTATACTAAAAACCCTTTGCAACTAACCAGGCCTTATATTTCTGTAGGGTTCCATCAGCATTAAATTTTGTGTAAAAAACCCATTTGTTTCCCACTATGTTTATATCAGAAGTAGGATCAACAAGTGTCCAGGTGTTGTTGGCTTAAGTGCATCATACTCACACTGCATGGCAGCTTTCCAGTTGCTGCTCTGGAGAGCTTCAGAGACTGTACAAGGTTCTGATTCAACAGGTTTAGCACTGCCAGACCCACCAATGAGAAGTGCAAAATGATTATCCTCACCAGTTTGACTATAAGAAACCATATTGAACTGGACAACTGACTTAGACCTGGTCACCATTGGATGAATATTCTCATGTACTGACTTATCAGTTGGTTCAGCAACAACTTGCAACGAATTACATGGTGCTAATTTATTGGAACAAAGGGTTTCACGAAGACAATTGTAATCTGAGTCAGCAGCAACTTTTGATGAAGTACAACAAGTGTTAGACCGATCGTCACAGTCTAAAAATTAAACCTAAATACCGTAGTAGCGGTGAGCAGGATCGAATCCACAGGGAGCAAGACTAACAACCTAATGTATTTTAAGTAGCGGAAATGAAATTGGCAATGGATTAATGAAACTAAATAGATTAAATGCAAATAATGAAATAGTGAAATTAAAACAAATAAAGACTTTATAATAAAAATGTTGCCGTTACGGTTTTGGTTCGACACGAGACCGACTCACACAATTCTCCTCCACCCTCTACGATCCCCTAAACCTTCAAGGCAAGGTAAATCAATGAAATGGTTTCCCGACACTCTAGGTATAATCTATCCTATCTCACCCGATCACTCAAGTTCGATTGGTTAAAGACTATTATTGAACATCGATAAACGCTACAAGGCAATACCACTAGTTGGTACGCGATTAACAAATACAATCTGTCAACACGTAATATCCAATCAACCAACTTCACAATAAATGCAACAATTGTAGAAATTTAATTAAATCTGAAAACAACTCAATTACAATCGATGCGAAGTAATGAAAAGCAATATTCATCATTTAATTATTCCAAACCAACGTTTATCATTCAGCAAGTTCTATGAAAACATTAAATCATAATGGACAACAATATTCATCACAAGTTATGCTCAAATCATATTAAAGTATCGAAATCAATCATGAAACGAAAACAAATATAATCCGAAGAACAATACTACCAAATGTCCTATAATCGGGCTCATCCAACAAGTCGAGAGCTGATGAGGAGAGTCGTAGAGTCAATCCCGATCTCGCCTATGCCGTAACAGACAACCGGGAGCTTAGCCGCTCATGGTGGTGATGACGGAGGCCGAAACGGTGGAAACGGAGCTGACCATGGCGGAGAGGAGGTAACCGACAGCGATATGATGTGAAGAAGGGGCGAAAACGACCAACGGACAGCTCGGAATACGAACAGCCGCGGTTTGCAGGAAAACTTTAATTTTCTGGCGGGTCTTTGGAAAACGGTGGCGGAAATGGGATCCGAAGGTACCAATGGAAAACTCTGGTGATGGGGAGTTCAGATCAGGTCCTTCGGAGGTGAGAAGTCGCCGAAAATGAGCAGGATCTGGCTTGGAAGATGAAGAGTCGAGGCGGCTAAATCACGGATTCCGGCGGTTTTCGCGGTGGCTGAAGCTAAGGAAGTGTAGATCCGGCTGTGGGGAAGGTGGATCGACCCTTGGGGAGCCGAATTGTCGCCGGAAAACGGTCGAAACTGGCCAGGAAGATGAAACGACGCGGTGGAGGGAAAATGAAACATCGCGGCAGCTTTCGTGTTTCACGGTGGTGGTCCGGGACGATGGGCTGACGGTGATCTGTGGTCAAGGAAGCCAAAGAGTCGCTGGAGGTGGAAGACGAAGGGTCGCCGAAAAACTTTATGGATGGCAGCCTCCCTGTTCACGCGATCTGAAATTTTGTTTTATAGAACAAACTACAAAATTTCAGTATAGTCCCTGCACAATTGAAAAGTGACAAAATCAGCCCCTTAAAACATAACATTTTACCCCTTAAACAGCATAAATGAGACAAAATCACCCTTAATCCATAAACCACAACCTAATATCAACTCATATACTTTCCAAAATCATTCTAAACACGTTAAATTCATAAGAAAAATATTAGGAAGCGATTTTCGTGAATAAATTCATAAATTCTTTAATTATCTCAA